CATCATATTCAAGAACAATGTTCAAATAATTAGAGAGAATAATGTAATTAAGTTCCATGTGAAAATAAAGGATGAGTAATTTATCTTTGAGGTTGAAGATATAATAATAGAGACAACTAATGAAATTCACAAAACTACAAGTTTATAAACCAAAAAATAATACTTATACTATCTCAACTTGCATTTGCCAGATTTTCTTTCTCTAGACAATAGATTCTCTATCCACATGTGCATCTCTCAATTTTTTGAAAAAATAGAAAAGAAAAATTAAAAATTCAGAATTTCCATCTATAAATAGCCACTCATTTCATAATCTCAAACACCAAGCAAACAACAATTTTCAATACTAATTAGCCACATTCAATTGTTGAAGAGTGCTAATTATTAAGTTTGAAAAAATGTCTAAGTTTGGTGCATACTCAATTGCCCTTGTTCTCACATTGAACATTCTTTTTTTCACTATGGTTAGTTCCACTAATGTCCCATGCCCACCACCCCCCACACCCCCAAACCCCCACTACCCTACCCCTACCCCCTCCACCCCATCATCAAAGGGTAAGTGCCCAAATGACACACTTAAGCTAAATGCTTGTGCCAATTTGTTGGGTGACTTATTGCACCTTGTTATAGGAATAAGTAGCCCAGCTAAGACTGAATGTTGCTCTCTAATTGAAGGACTTGTTGACCTTGATGCTGCTGTTTGCCTTTGCACTGCCCTTAAAGCCAATTTGTTGGGAATTAATCTAAATATTCCACTTTCACTCAACTTGTTGCTCAACAACTGTGACAAATATGCCCCAAAGAACTTCCAATGTGCTTAAGATAAATTTAGTTTCTTTCAATGTGTTTTGATGTTTTGTTATGTGTATGTGCTTGTACTACTATAGTTGCTTATTTTCAAGTGAAGTATAATTTTTATTCTAGTTGGTAATTAGAAGGAAGGCTAGTTGTCTTCTTTTGGTTGTACTTGTATCCTATTTTCATGAAATAAATGTCACCTTTTGAAGTTGCCATCTTTTTGCTTATTTGGAATAGAAAAATTTATAAGATCTTTTTCTCTCTTTTCAAAACTTTTACAATATATATCAGACAAATTATTTTTCTAAATTTTGCCTAGTTTCCTTTTTAGGGTCAACTTTGATCAAGTATGAAGTCCAAATTAGCTCAAGCATTTACATAGGTTAACTTATACTTGATCCAACATATCTCCAATGAATATATTCTCAGTTCAATCCACCCAAGTCTAAGACATATTGGACGAGTTATGTTTTCATAAGTTAAACTTTAATCTCCATATAATAGTCAATACAGTAACGAATCATATATATGACACACAAAAAGATTTAGATTAATTGGAGTGACATTTAAATTAATCTCCTTATAAAAATATACACATTCAACTGTCTTATAGTGATTGGATTTTGTTTTGTAGAAGGCACAAACAAACTATTCTATAATGGTATTAATCTTTAATTTCTCTCAAAAATTGCCTAGGTGAACTATGTATATTGTTAATTAATTAACGATGCATACAAACAATTCTCTTAAATTCTCCCTATATAAATATTAAGTGCATTTATAAACAACCCTCCTTATATATCTCAGCACAAATTAAAATTACAAAAAAAAATAAAAAATCTCCATGGACAAACTTGTCACAATAGCCATCTTTTTCGTGCTCCTTTGTGTTACTACGACCACAGCAATTCGTCACCACCACCACGAATAACGATGATGGTGGAGTTAAAGAGGCTTTCAAAACGATAAAAAAATCGTTATAGTAGTGGCCATAGTTACGATGATGATGGCAGAATTCAAGAGGCTTTCAATACGATAATTAAAAATCGTCAAAGTAGTAGCAATATTCACGATGCTCCAACTGTCACTAAAAATATATGATATCTTGACTATTTGGCACTGAAGTTGCAAAAAATAGTATTTGAAGACTTACTATAGTATTTAATAAATTATGTGCTTTAATTGTGTTTCTAAATAAGTCTAAGACCTTGTCTATGATCAAGTTGTTAATATTTTAATCTATACATATGCATTGGTTAAGACATCTTTACTAAGTCGAGTTCCAATTGAGCACCAAAACTTATTCTTACAACTTATATAGTGCGTCAATTAGACACAATTCAGTGACATGACACATGATATCATTTTTACCGGAAAATATAAGATTTTGCCAGAAAGAAAAATACATTTTAATTTGAGATTTTTCAGACATGTTGAAAAAGAAAAGAGAATCACAAGTTCTTATGCGATTACCAATTTTGGGCCTCAATAGTATAGCATCTTGAATTTTCGACATTGTTTTGGGCTTGTCTATAATAATGATTGAGCCTACGTCAATTCATCCAGACTCAATATTTATACCAGATAAAATATAGTATTTCAGATACATGCAAATCACACCAGATATATATACAAAATAATCATTGTTTAATGCATAAATAAAATTTTAACAAAACACGATATAGCATTGTATTTAGAGTTCAAATTTTTTACTAAGTGAAAATCCAACATATAATAAGAAACTTCCTTTTCGTAAAACTCCTTTTATGCAGGTTCATGAAAAGGAAAAACAAAAAAAATAAAAATTTGATGGATAAGAAGAAAAACAATATAATATTTCGTTTGAAATATATGATTTTTCATGGATAAACTAGTAAGAAAATTAATTATTTCGGTATATGAAAATACTGAAATAATTATTTTATGTGCTTTATTTGTTTCCCCAAAATGCCCCTCCAATATTACATTTACTTCTGGGCCCTTAATAGGCCCAAAACAAGGAGAATCTTTATGGGCCCTTAGTCATCGGGTTTCTCGTTGCTAGTTGAGCTTCACGTGCTCAATGACCCGCAGATCACATTTATTTGGGCAAAGAATCCAAAGATGGATTGCTCCTCAAATGGATTGGTATTTAATTTTTTATCGCTCATATCTCATGTGTTTAAACTTTTATTTGTCTCTGATACTTATTTAATGAAAATTTATGAATCAAAATATCTTTATCTGTCCGAAATTCACTCTGCATAATTTAGAGTCTTTCATCTTTTACATCTAAATGTTTGCCTCCCTCAAAATAAATTCTTAGAAATTAAGTTAAATAACATAAATTATGTAGTATTTTCACATTTTGTCAAAATATTCAGAAACTGAAATTATATTTTTTGGGGCATATGTATAGATATAGATGAATCCATAGGTTACTACAAATAATAGTAGTGATATATACATCAGAAGCTCAACGACACACGAGATAAAATAATTTTGCATTCTATCAATAGACTATTATTAGATAGTTTCAAATTGGGTTTATGTATACAACATAACTTTTGCATCGACTATTATTAGTGACGTAGAAAGATGACCTTATGTTAAAAGATTATATTAAGGATATAAAAATTTATACAAAGTATATATGTCAAAAATTATTTTTCATACATATATTAAATTTTGAATATCTTTCTCAAATTTCTAACTTTACTACTAATCACTATAAATATTTAATTTGAACTCAATTATTCTTATTCGTACAAAATTTATAAACTTCAAATAACGACCCCAAACGTGATATTTCTTTCACCAACACTATTCATGAATCATGCATGCATTCCAACAAAAATCAAATACGTAAAAGATTAAAAAGGGAAAAAGACTGTGGCAGTCCTGTCGATGATCTATTTTGGTCCACGGCAGGTAACAGAAAATAATTTAAAACAAATTTTTTTTTCTTCCGTTCACTTTTAATTGTCATAGTTTCCTTTTTTAGGTCAAACTGTAAAAATTTTAACTAACATTTTAGAATGTATTATTTCATCATATTAATATGAAAAAATTGCAGTTTATAGTACTTTTCGTATAGTTTTTATTTTTGAATATCTAATTTTTTTGTTTAAAATATCAAATTAATGTAATCTAATTTAACTTTGAAAATTAGTACTTTCAAAAGACATAACATGACAAATAAAAATGGACATAAATTAATAATTAATTAAAGAGAAAAATAAATTGAAGATAATAATATATGTGCAATTGGCGGAGATTGCGGCGGGATATGCGAACTAACTGGTAATGTATTTTAATTTTATATTTTTTTATTAGAATTTTGTACTTTTTATACGTAAAAAATCTTAACTCGCTATAAAAGTCTTCAATCATAAACTACTATTCTTGTCATATTATATTATTGTAATTAATTACGACAAAAATATTGTTACACTGACGACTCAATTTCATCAGAGTATAATTGAACAAATCAATCATTTATTCATCAATCAATTTACCTAAAATATTATATAGACATCCTCATAATTTTTACCCATATTAGTCAGGTAAATTTCTTAATGAAAACTAAACACAAGTATCGATATATATGAATAACTTATTTCTTAACTAACTATCAAACATAATATTACTTATACAAAATTTAATACCTGAATAACTTATTTTCAAACTCAGCTATCACACAACCCCTAAGTTGTGTTTGTAAAGGGCAATAAAATTCAAGTCTAATAAACTTTTTCACCATCACCCTACATAAAAAAATCCAAATAAAGATTATATGTCGATTTCCTTTTTATGACTGTACAAGAACAGTGACCCTAGGGCTACAAAAGTAGTTGAGCAGGACCAGTCCTATGGCACTAATAAATCATTATACATCATGCCCTCCAGATTCAAACATCTTTTTCCGGTCTAGTGATCAACTAAATGAGTCGAGAATCATAAGGCCTCAATTTCAAATTTCAATAGACATAAAAATATTAGGTAATTTATTTTTGTTCTATGATTCAAATCTTTAAGGACAGAGTTATTTCATACTTATGCTGGTGGGGGACAACTTATGAATACCTATGCTGGTGAGAGACAAGGTTATTGATACCTCTGCTGATCAGAGAAAAATTAATCATTATACGCAAACTAGCCTAAACACAACGAAAATATAGATGACACTAATAACTAGTAAGTGAGAAAAAGTGAAAATGTAGTACAAAAACAAAGCTCATACAAGCAAGAAGATTATATTATTACATTCACATATAGAAAACAAACTAAGCTGCACTATCTTCATTGCAGCTACAAAATTGAACCTTTTCACACAAACCTTGCTACAACAGTAAATATATATAATGTTACCACTCCGCACAAATCCCCAAATTCATGCTTATGAAAATTCAAAAAAAAAAAAACATGACCTATACACATCAAAACTTGCAACCTCATCACTGATCTGACTAATTCAAATTCACGCTCCCTGCTTCAGTCACATTAAGGACTAGGCCGGTGTCGATCCGCAAATCGATTAACCAAAGCAAGTGCATTACTAGTAACTTGTGCAACATGAAGTATTCTCAACCTTAAAGCAGCTTTCACATTTCCATTCATACCACGCCCTGAAAATCCATCAAGACAAGTATTTTCATCAGTAAGTGCAGCACTTACCCAAGTCTGTACATTACTAACATGCCACATGAAATCCTGTCCAGTTGAAAATTGACCAGTATGTCCAAGTTCCGGAATTGATTTGTTTATCTGATCGATACTATCACTCATAGTGTCCAAACAGTCCTTGACTGCTTGTTTTTCTCTTGGCTTTAGACCTCTCATTCTATTTAACTTCGATACGAATATCATAGTAGATTTTGCTTTGCTTAAACTAACTGATAAAGCAGCGTGAGCTAATTGCTGCTCACTCTGTTTAACAGTGTTGGCGAAAGCAGAGAGGCATTGGACACATAAAACAGGGTAAAGTGTGGCTTTACATGAAACTTTGATGAATTTTATGGCAGCTGGATTTGAGGTCATGGCTGATTTAGCCATGGTGTTATGAACAAGAAAACATTGGAGAGATAAGAATACTATTAGCAAGTGAAGACTATGGTTACCCATGGCTATTTTTCTTTTTTCTCTTTTTAGTGTGGTGTACTAGAGTATGGTGAAGCTTTATATAGAATTTAAAAGGGGCCCTAATTATTTTCTTTTAAAACACTCTATATGTCGCAATTTACATGGTACAACTGAAATTTTAAATTTACGTGGCTCAATCCATTCGAATTTGATCTAATCCATCCATTTGCACCCCTATACTTTCCTAACATGGTTACAAAAGTTAGCAAACAATATTCTAAAGTAAAACAAATGAAAATATCTTCCTCATTTTGGGTATAATCTACAGTTTTCACATGCCCCTTTCCCTTTTGCTTTTGCCTCTTCTTTCTATGCAACATTTTAATCTTTCCACCTTTATATTTCTCACAAATATCTGCCATTGTACTCTTTTTCTTTGCAACTTGTAATGTTGTCTATGTTTATGAAATATTGTTGCTCTTTTACTTTTTTATTTTTGGTGAAGAGGGGTGTGATCTAATGATCACGAGTTCAAATTGTGAAAGTAATCACTAATATTTATATTAGAGTAGACTGTCTATATATCACATTCAAATCCTGCGTGAATGTATGATGCTCTAAGGTAGGCTGTCTATAGCAAACCCCTTGAGGTGCGGCATTTTTTCAAATGTTATGTGTGATACTTTGTGCACCAAACTGTCTTTTATGTTTTACTTTTTTATTTGTGATTGCTCAAGCTTATCTCAAATTAGATAAACATGACCAAACTTTTAAGGTAACGTGGTAGATGTCTAAGCACACCAACGTGTGCCTTTTTACTTGGCATAAAGAAACTTGAGAATCAAGAGTACTTAAGATCAGTATTACAGCAAAACAGGATAAGTATAAGAGTCTACTAAATTAATCAAATTACGAAACTAATCTTTTATTAGGCAATTAATACAAGAGAGTTAAAGAGAATCTTTGACCAACATGTGACTAGAAAAACATTGTGTAGCAAAAAACAGAACTGATTACTTCCTGGATGATTCTTAAATTGATAACAAAACCAAAAGACAAAACTGAATACATTTTTTTTTGTGATTTTGGTCTGTGCCTCGTGTCTCAAAATGTACCAATTGTTGAAAACAATAGTAACTCTGTTAATTGTTATTCATGTGGAGGGTCACCAACTAACCATTATTTTATGGTTGTACAGGCAATAATATACCGTACATATTTGCTAGAGGGGTCTGGTAATAGTACTCATACAAAAGTGCTGGCAGCCAACTATGATGATATATACATATACAATTAATAGAAAGTAAAGAAGCACATGATAATAATAGGCACAAAATAAGCATCCAGAAACCACACCGGTGGGGTGGAATGAATGAGATTTCTACGTCGTTAATTAGAAGATAATGTTCGAGCCATGGGAACGAAAAAACTCTAATAGGGAGTGGTTCTCCCTTTATGAGCCTTCCGCGACACGAATTTGGACTAGCCAGGCCAATGGGTTTCAGAGTATACAAAAAAAGCATACGAAATGCCTATTTCAACTTTTATGCTGCATTGGGTAATTCTCACCTCTGTTTATGAAGCCATAAAAAACTGTTAAAATGTTCACTTTACAGCAAGACCCAAGACTTTGCCTATAACTGAAAACCATAATATATATGGTTGGCAGTTAACAATTAACATAGATCCAGCTTTGGGAACATCACCAACCTTGGTGATGGGTACTTATTATATTTCAACATCTAAAAGTTGTAGTATAAAGGAGATTACATTCTAGTAGTCCGGTGCACGAGTAACCCAGAGGGTGTGATATAGGCAGCCTATCCTAACGCAAGAGGCAGTTGCTAATTTCATAATTCAAACTCGTGACCTATATGTTTCACTGAGACAACTATTTATGACTTTCCAGGCATTCAATATACAATGTAATTGTCACTTTCAGTAAAAATAGGATTTCACACTTTCCAACATACAAGGAAGAAGAACATGAATTTTCAGTTACATGGTTTACTCATTCTTTTCACAAATGATGGGGATACTTTCTTCTTATTATTACAAGGGATACATTTTAAGTTCATATTCCTACAAAATTTTGTAATATACTACAACATTACTAAAATATAAATAACCAGAAATTCTCACCATTTCTCTGTATAAACATGAGAGACAAGAATTTGATAAGCTTAAGATGAAGCCTATACTGTTAAGTACTTCAGAACAAGTCCCCTCAGCTTTTCCATGTATTCCGCAGCTTGTTTCTGCGTTTCCAAAGGAAGATCAATTCAAATTCAAGAGAGTAGTATATTTAAAGCTTTTACGCATATTGATCACTAAAAAATTATACACTGATAAATAACAATGATGGTGTTGACATGTAGCCATTGGCAAGTTTTTAACACATCCGTCAGAAAGGAACACATATCTTTTAGAGATAAAAGTGAATCCAAGTGAATGTCAACCTCTATCCAAAAAACAACAAGTTTGAACATCTGGGGAAGTTACTGCAAGATCCTATTTTATCATCTATCAGGTTTACGAAGAACATTTACCGAGTATCTGAAAAAATATTAGACAGACATTGTGGACACTCGATGCGTGTGCATTATCAGTGCATATTTTTAGCATCTTTGAACTGTTCATCTTACATTTTCTTGCTCATCTTTTCAGTTCTTAACCTATCCTAACTTGTAATCATTTTTGTGTTTTTCATGCATGAGATGAGCTCAATGAGCTAAAATCCATTGTTTATCCAGAAAATAACTTTCACGAGAGTAATCGGCTTATGCAGTTCAATTATATGATTGAATTCATCGTCCTTAAGCAATACTCAATCCACATGAACAATAATTTGACCATACTCAGCTAGTGCATAGAAGATGCACACAAAAGCATAAAGGTACTTATCATGTTCAATTTAAATTATGGATGTTTCTTTTTCTCGTATAAGCGACGAAGAGCAGATTCAAAAAGAAAAATAGCCAACGTGAAGATAACATAACTAGTTAAGTTTGAACTTGAATATACATTTTTCATAAGAGTTATGTGGAGTGCAATTGGAAAAATCAGACATAATTTTCTGCTCTTTGTACATCTGTGTAATTTGTAAATGAAAGAGATTTTGCGAGATATCTTCCTAAAAGATATGGTGGAGAAACTATCAGACCCCAGAAAATAGTTGAGAGGAGGAAAACCGATAAACTTTATCATAATTAGTCTAAACAAAGATGAACTAACAAAGAAATGATAGGAACTTCTACATATAACTCAGAGATTCCAGTGTCTCTTTTTATCGCACAAAGATTGAGAATTGATTGGCTATAAACTTCACTTCAAAGATTGTTAGACTGCTCAGGAATGTTGTAAGCTGATAATGGCAATTCACTTGCCACTACGAGGAACATTTAATAGATGCTGCCTCACCATTTCTACCCAACCAATTCTTTTTCTTTTTAATGACTGTGGTGTTCGGACCAGCTTATGCACACCTCGATTAATTCCATGGAAGACTTGCCACCTCCCACCAGTAACAGGTACCAGGCCGGCAGGCCCTAGTGTTTTTTTGGCTTCTACTGAGATTTGAACCTAGACTTCATAGTTCTCAACCCACTTCATTGACCACTAAGTCATACCCTTGGGTGCCTACCCAACCAATTCTCAACCCAGAAAAGTACCTTACGGAAAAGAAAAAAAAAAGATTTTCAACCTAGACAAGGTGTGCTTTCAGTATAATATTTTCTTTTGTTTGTTATATTACTATTAGAGAAAGCACAGCATAACCTTGAAGAACACTGAAATTTTAGAAAATTGTGTGGATTTATGTCAGTTATCGATGCTTAGTTCAAAAAGTTACTTCTTTTTCCTTTTTGAATCACATTTTTCTACTTAAGTTTCAGTTATTTTATGTGATGTTTGCACCAGTGTCTTCACAAATATGCATCATCACTCCCACAGAACTTCTATCTACATTGTATGGAATTTGCTTTTCTCACCTGGTTAACACTATGTGCAGTTGCAATGTTTTCATCAAGAAGTGTCAACAAGGGTCTATTCAGTGCATTCCTCCCAACCAAATCCAATAGCTGCTCAGAAAATGGAATAATCCAAACTCAGCAATAAAACTAAGAGAATATACAAACCACACCCACACATAAAAAGAAGAAGCAGAATTTAGAAACTATCACATACAGTGGCCTTGACATCCTTTGAAGTCAAAATCTCAGTTAAGTTCTTCTTTGTTGCTACAAGATCTGCTTGCAATTTATCATAGGCTTCTGCAGGAAAAAAAAAATAGTACGGCAGGATGTCAGAAGTACTCTACAGGATAACTTATTGAGACTTCATCCTCAACTGTAGCTGGGACTGTGGGACATGTATGCCTATGTTATGCATATTGCTTGAACCCCACCCCCCTTCTAGCCCCATGTTAATCATGTGATAATCCAACATGATTTTAGTGTGATCCAGGAGACTTACCGGGTTTGGTTAATTCACCTAGGTATGTTGACTATAACTATAGCCGAGTCTACTGTCACGAAGCATAGGTTATCTAGACTCTCTTATTACTATATAACGATAAGAAAACTTGGTAATTGTGTGAGATATACTATAGTGGAGTACTAAAATATATGTGTATATTATACTATACATTTGTTAGTCATGTCTCTGCAACCACATATGTACTCCTAGGTATCTCCGAAATTTAAGAATTAGATGATGCAGAATCCGACTTCTAGATCTTCTCATATACCTTTACTCATTTCCATGTAAAATAGTCTGGAAATATCTAACGAAAGAGCAAACTAAATAGTCATTTTATCAGACCTGTTGCTTCTTGCAGGGCCTTTTGCAGTGCTTCCAGTTCAATTAATCTGTCTTCCACGGCCTGCGAAATATCATGGTCAGTGTCATTTCACTAACGTATCTGTCTCATGCTAAGTCGAGCAAATGGTCAGTAAAAACCTGAGTTTTGTTTACAGAAAAGCGCAGCTTTCCAAGTTCGACTTGCAGATGGTCAAAAAATTCTTTGTTCAATCTGCAAACTAAGATATGTTAGAAATTTTCAAGTAAAGAGGATGAAGACTATAGA